AGAGCCACAGAGAATCGACAAGACTTTTGAACTTCCATACATGGGGAATCATATGTGGAGTGACCTATCTACTAATCGGAAGGTTGGTGGTTTGATCACTGCCGGCAAGATGCTGAATTCTGAGTTGCTTCCCAGTGTGCTCATCGGAGTTTGAATGTTAGAAAGCACTTAGGCACTCAAACAGTGGCTATGTGAACAGGTGTGAAATAGGCATGTTGTATGAAACACAGTGCTCAAGTAGAGTAGAACAGTTATCATCATTTACAAATGATGGACTAAATGTATATTTATATGAGATTTAAACCTTTACTTAATCACACATCACTAGATCATGAATGAAGCGAAAGGAAAGGTCTCCTTAACTTAACTTTTATTTACACATTTATGCAAAACTTACTGATAAAATACAACAATAAAAAACCCCTAGCAGACTGGTATTTGCTTTATTGACTGAACTGATCCTTCATCTTTGGATTTAATTAGAATACAAAATCTTGAATAAACCACATTCTTCAATGTCAAATTACAGTTTTACTGCAGTGTTATATAATCCATGGATATTAGTACATTTTTTATACCTTATGTACTTTGAACTGAGGACATGGGCCACATCCACAAAATGTAATTTTCAGTAATCCAGTTTTCTTTCAATGGGAATGCTACCGTGGTTAGCCTTATCATCATTGGACATAATAACAACTCTCTAAACCACAACAAGGTTGGAGCCTAATCATATAGCTGTTAATACGCCACATATGTTGGTACGTTCTAAGCATTGCTGGAAACCTGAGTGTGTGAGCCTGAGCTCAGGGTTAATGAAACCCTAACTGACAGATAACTGTCTGCATTTGTAGATCACTACATGCATTTGTGGATCTGCCACAGCAACTCTATAACAAAGGTCAGGTGTAAAAACAATTGCCAATTGTAAGGCTGGGAGAACTGTGACTGATATCTGTGCATGCCTACAGATTTATTTACACCCTCCCTAATCTGAATACGCACACAGATCTCAGTACACATATTTAGATCAAAATACACACAAATGGTAAATGGACTGGTTCTTATATAGTGCTTTTCTACTCTATCTGAGCACTCAAAGCAACGAATTTATTCACACAATCACACAAGCACTTTTTCTAAGCTTTTAAGTGCTTATTCATACATCGGAGAGCAACATGGGGTTAGTATCTTGCCCAAGGATATTTGGCATGCAGACTGGAGGAGCCTTGGATCGAACCACAAACCTTTCAGTTAGTAAGTGACCTGCTCTACCACCTGAGCTACAGCCATGGTCACGTACCTGAATATGCACACATGCATTTCAATACACATATATTTTTTGTATATAGTACACAATATAATATAGTTCTGTTCATGTAGGCGATGAATCTTCCTCAAAAGTTGAAACTTCTACCAACCAGTCATATCTATCTATTTGAACGACACAAAGACGACTAAGGAGCTTGGAAAAAAGTGACTGTACTTCTTTGAGTTTCTTGACGATGTTTCACCTCCTATCCGGAAACTTAAAAGAAGTCCAGTGGCTTTTTTTTCCAATCTCCTTAGGCTACCATGACCTGGATAACTGAGAACCTACTCAGAGATACAAAGAAGAATTTCAGATGGTGCCTTTGATGTGAAATGGACAGGTCCGTTTTTGATCAGCTCACAGCAGCAGCAGAAATCGGACAGTAATAGAAAAGAGATTGAAAAGGCAGTTTGTGTAATGACTGATGAATGCTGAAAGTCCAGAGGAAAGAAATTTAATAAGATGTGGAGTTAACCCTAAACTAAACTTGTTAACTAAAAACAATCAACATATATAGACACACATCGAGTATGAAATTTCTCTGAAACAGAACATCTCTACAGATATCTGACATCATCATGAAACTTTCCCTTGTTTTTTTTTTTGTTGTTAAAGATTATGTCAGGGTATGGGTCCTATTAACACATAGTGAGTGAAAAAAGGTGACTAAAAAGGAAAAACTCAATGCATCATGGGAATCCCCCAGCAGCCTACACCTATTGCAGCATAACTAAGGGAGGATTCAGGGTCACCTGGTTCAGCCCTAACTATATGCTTTAGCAAAAAGGAAAGTTTTAAGCCTAATCTTAAAAGTAGAGATAGTGTCTGTCTCCCGAATCCAAACAGGAAGCTGGTTCCACAGAAGAGGGGCCTGAAAACTGAAGGCTCTGCCTCCCATTCTACTTTTAAATACTCTAGGAACAACAAGAAGGCCTGCAGTGTGAGAGCAAAGTTCTCCAATAGGGTGATATGGTACTACAAGGTCATTAAGATAAGATGGGGCCTGATTATGTGAGGAGCAGGATTTTGAATTCAATTGGCTCAAATTAACAGGGAACCAATGAAGGGAAGCCGATACAGGAGAAATATGCTGTCTCTTTCTAGTCCCCGTCAGTATTCTAGCTGCAGCAATTTGGATTAACTGAAGGCTTTTCAATACTAGTCCAGTATTGAATAGCACTCTGGCTGGGCTGTCTGAGATGTAGATGAGGTAGGTGGCATGAAAGAAAGTCTGAAAGGGAGAATGACGGAGAGCACAGAATTAAACAATGTGACGCGGAGAACGATTGGTTCAAATAATCTAGAGTGTGAACCTTGAGGCACCAGACTACTGGAAACATGTAATGACAAACAACAACAATGACTTTACCAAGAAATATGATGTAACACCTGCTGATATTCCTGCAAATTAGCATATTCTCTCAAAAGCACAGGCAGAAAAAGTATCGATGAGTCACTTTAAATCAAGCAAGAGTGCTTTTTCTATTCATTTTTTCTAGACTACAATTAGTTCAACATGGCTCCACTAAACAGCACATCATAACCTCTCATTACTTCATAATGTGTGCCCATAAAACATCCATTCACTCAATATTCTCTTAAATACCATTGCATTGGCAATATCCTGAACGTTCACACCACTTGTAATATAGCAGACTGCAGGTCACACTACTGATTCTCTTAATAACAGTTTGTGTTTGATAAGATTCAGAACATCATCCTGTGTATTGAGGATTCCTTTAAACATCTGAGTGAGTCAGAGCTTGAAATTGAGGAACTGAGCTCAGCAGACATGAAAATGGCTTTAAACAGTTCTCGAGGGACAGACGGGATTATGGCCTTTTCTTTGGGAAGGAACTAAGATCCCTCTTATCTGGCACTTTATAAGAATATGCAGAGAAGAAAGGAATGGATGCTAGGCTCAAAACAGTTACTAAATCTGCCAAAGATAAAAGAGTTTTAGACAATTTAATACCAATCGCTCTGCTAAACACTGATTATAAGATTCTGTTAGGGGCTATATTTGTGACGCTGAAGAAAGGCATGAGGATTTCATAGTCAGGATTTGTAAAAGGAATAATAATAATAACAATGATATAAGGCTGGTATTGGAGCGTCTTTATTATAGCAAAATAATTCAAGAAAGAGTGTATTTCTATTTTAAGATTTTCACAAAGCAAAGTTCATATTGAAAAGATTTATCTCTTTGACTCTTTGAATTTGGGGAAAAATCTGTTAGTGCCATTGATTATCCAATGGAATAAATAACTCTCTAGGCCATCACACTTGATTCAAGATTTCAGATTAATTGAGGAATGTGTCAAATATGTAGTGGCAAACCAATTTTCCTCCCTCCAAAGGGAGGGGTTATCAACTCGGTTCCATTTGTCTGTTTGTTAGCAGGCTAGCGTCCACAGTTTTTAATATTTCACTTCAAATGTTATGTGATGGTTGATATCAAAAACCAGCTTGAACTGATTTAATTTGGATGGAAATTGGGTCAAGGTTAAAGTCACACATTACTGACCAGCCTGCACCAACCCCTGACTTAAACCCCTTTGAAAATCTTTGAGGTGATCTCAGTTGAGTTTTATTTATATAGCGCCAAAACACAACAACAGTTGGCTCAAGATACTTTATACTGGAAGGTAAAGACCTTATAATAATACAAAGAAAACAGAGAAAACCCCCAAAATTAGATGACCACCTATGACTAAGTGCTTTGGCGACAGTGGGAAGGAAAAACTCCCTTTTAACAGGAAGAAAGCCTAATCTAAAAAGTAGAGATGGTGTCTGCCTCCTGAATCCACAATGGAAGCTGGTTCCACAGAAGAGGGGCCTGATAAGAAGGCTCTGCCTCCCATTCTACTTTTAAATATTAGGAACTACAACTGAGCCCAGTCTGAGAGCAAAGTGCTCTATTGGGGTGATATGGTACTATAAGATCATTAAGATAAGATGGGGCCTGATTATTTAAGACCTTGCATGTAAGAAGAAGAATTTTAAGTGGGAGCTAATGAAGTGAAGCCAATATAGGAGAAATATGCTCTCTTTCGAGTCCCTGTCAGTACTCTTGCTGCAGCATTTTGGATCAACTGAAGGCTTTTCAGGGATTTTTGAACTAAAGAGCAAGGTACATGCCAGAAGACCATCAAATATGGAGAAGCCTGAGAGATTTGTCAAAGAATGGGATTGCTCAGGAGACATGCGCATGACTCGTTGA